CCTCCCTTTTTTTGCGTCGAGAATTCAACTTCCCTGACGAAAGAGTCTGAGAAAGGCGAACGAATTACCCGAGACGCGTGATAAATTTATGCGTGAAAATGAATCTCATTCCATCGACATTTTTTCTTAAGGCTATAATTCTACAATTGCGTAAACGTAGGGTTGTAGGAGTAGGAGTAAGAAATTGACCAATCCACAGTCGATTATTCTCCTCAAATTCGACTGTGATTGGTCAATTTCTTACTTCTACTCCTACAACCCTACGTTTACGCAATTGTAGAATAGCCTTTACATGAAAAAATAGTACCGTCAACCGAGAATTTCTTTTTCAGTTTTTAATGTAGGTATCTCGAGTTCTTCGTTCATTTCTTGAGTTATTAATGACCTCGTGTGCTCTCGCGTGGTTTTTTTCCCCGATTATTACTACGTATCTCATATTACTTTTAATAACCTTTGTTATATTGTTGAACCTTCGTTCAGGCTGTCGTTGAAACAAAACAATGTAAATTCTTTACCTGTCGGACAGCTTCCTCTTCGTAACGAATCTTTGCTGCTCGAAAACCCTAGCTTTTCTCTGATTTTCAACTAATCGACCTTTCAACAAGTGTAACTGAACCGGCAAACATTAATGCAATTAATGTAAGGCCATTGAGGATTGAGGGCGCGAGTTAAGTAACAGCGTTTATAGCCACGTGACCGGTGTAGCAAATAAGGCACGACGCTGACGTCACTTCCACGTGACACGTGACACGTGACTTCCAAAAGCGCGGGCTCGGCCCAGTGATATATGTATGTACGTCTCCGTGTATGTATTATATATTTCATGCTATATATGTCAATATTCTACTATGCAAATTTATGTAACAAATAAATTAACTGTATGTATATGTCTTGCACAATAAACATATATTTAAAGATATATAAACACAAATATAATAATACATGATCGCATGACTATGTTTCAAAGGATAAAATTGCAAAAATATAAATGTAACATTTATTTTATTATTTAAAACACTTTATTTGAAATATAAGGAATATATAGGGCATGCAGATTTCAAATATTTTGTCCTCTTTCAAAAAAAATATCGTCCTGTTAGTATCCTTCCGAATTCTGAGTATATGTTTAAGGGTACAAGGTTTTCAGTACGTTCATATACCCATAACTTTATTTCCAAATGATTTAGAAGGTCTAATTGTCGTAATCGACATGCTGTATCACGTTCCCATCTTATTACGCTGAGTGCTTCTTTACTTATAGATCGTTCCGCAACAGTCTCTAAAGCAATGGATGTCAATTCCTTGATATTCTTGTTCTCTACGGTACTCTTCTTATTTCTCAATGCTCTCAGTAGTTCCATTATGTCTGTTTCGATTTTTGCAGCAACATCTTCCACGTTTCTTATCATACTTAGCAAAAATATAACACCCATTTCTTGTACGTTATTGCTTGGATTGGTGAGTAAAAAGCGTAGAAATTCCAGCCAGAAATTCGAGTCGAAAACTTTCTTGCAAGCCTCTTTGTTGGCCACCGTCAGCTTCACTAGAGCTGCAGCTGCTGCGAAGTTAATATTTTGATTCTTGTTCTTGTATAATAACATAAGATACTCAACTCGAAAATTATCCTGCTCGAAATACTTGATAGCGACTTCGCGGCTTAAAAACAACAGGTTTATAAGTTTTGCAGACGCCAATCTCAAAAGACTGTACATAAAGACCCCCTCGCATGCCCTAAAGCCTTCAAGCTTCTGAAATACTCCTTCTTTGAATATATGTTTGCGCATGCTGTCGTTGACTTCAGCTAGATTGCACAAAGCTGTTAGAGTTTGGCAATTGTCATTAACGGAACATTCTGGGTTCAGAAAATTTACGATGGGTTGAACAAACTTCGTGAGTAGTTGACCGGGAATCTCAGGACAATCCGTGAGTGCCAAACGGACCAAAGCTTGCGAAGCTTGTTTCTTTCCCTCGACTGTGCCATCAAGCGCTAACGACAACAATGCCTCCGTGCCACCTTCATTAATAACCATTCCTCTCACTCTCTCTAGAATACATATCGCGTTGAAAACGCGTGCTATCAATTCCTTGCACTTCTGATTGTCTATTTTGGCGAGGTTCACCAGAACGCTGATCACATTGTAGGTCACTAATGCCCACAATCTATCTACGAAGCGTTCGTCCAGTTCAGATTCATCGGGAAAATGATATTTGACAAACTTTGTCAATTCTATCATCTCAGGTTCAGGCTTGTCATAAGCGTTGCACAAGTTCACCAACGTCGTAAGCACGCCGAAGAGAACCGATTGATCACCAGTCTTGGCGATTTCGATCATCATATTAATGACTTTTTTATCCTTGATCAACATCTTTTTGACTCCGGTGTTGAAAGTCAGATACGACAGACCTTTTATGGCCCATTCTCTCACACTGTTTGTTCCTTTCTTTGGATTAATCAACAATTTTCTGCAAGCCTCGGTCAATTTCTGGGCCACTCCATACGCGAACGGTCTGGTAGTCGCGTCTGAGTCTCCGGAATTACCCATCTCGCAAAAAGCCACTAACGCTCGAACCCGAATTGAATCATCCTTAGACTGGCACAGTTTTTTCAATATATTAACACCTTGATTTATGATCGCGTCGATTTTGCCTTTTCTGGTCACAGCGGCTACGATACATTCGAGAGCCACTTTCTGCTGCAATACATCATCCGTTCCCGCCATAACGAGGATC